GAGGCGGGGGGGTGGAGGGGTGATGGGTGACGTCACGGCTGCGGCTAGAAATGGATCAGACTTCATTAATCCGAAACACACCCGAGAGTCCTTATTGGTTCTCCAGGCGTTATTATATAAAAAGTATTAGAGTGCAGAGAGAGACTTCACGTTTTTATAAGTAAGGATCACTGTTAGTGCTTCATTTGTTCAGTTTCTGTTGATTTCCACTGCTATTGATCAGTGATTGATCAGTATTTTCCTGCTGTTTGTGCATTGGCACACTTATACACATTCTAATGCAAACTCATATTAATACAGCGGGGGGTATCATTAGTTTCCACTTATGAGTAAGAACTGCTGTTTTTATTCAATTACCTATAACTTCTTACATGTGAGTGGATGGCAAGTAACACTCTCCTAGTACATTTGACTCTGAGTAAATTTAGTCACGTCTTCTAAGGTAACTTCGTGACTATATCGTAGATTTTTCATTTTATTTGCCTCACTTACAGTGTCAGAGGGAATGAAATTGTATTTGTTTATCCATACAGTAATTGGCAGCCTTAGTTATTGATTACTTTTCAGATTAAACGTATGATGATTTTATAAAGAACAAGCAGATCATCTTGTGACCTCTTGCAGAAAAACAGGGTCTGGTTGAGGTTCAGATGTCTATGAGTTGTTAACAGTTCCACCAAAGAGAGATTTCCCCTCAAAACTCCCCACATGGTTTTATTTAAGTAACTCTAATCAAGGCTTAACGAGGCAAAATGATCCAATAATTCACAAACAAGATGAAAGAAAGGGAAATCAATAGAAATCTGGGCAGCAGAACTTTTTCTTCTTTTCTCTCCCATTAATCATCTGATGACCCCTCGGATATATCTTGTGACCCTGTGGAGAGGCCTGACCTCTAGGTTGTAACCACTGGACTAAACTACCAAACAGTAGCTTTAAGTATACTAATAATATGTCTCTATTTTCACTTAAGCAGATTTTAATGAAGGACTTGTAATGGAGTATTTTTACATTGCTGTACTGGTACTTCCGAGTTACACTACCAGGAAACATACAAAACAGCATAAAATATATGAATTAATACAGAATATACTGACTGAATGCAGCTCATAGAAATTGACTGGTGGCAGTGGTCCTGTCTCCTATAGGAAAGTGTTTTAGGATCAAACTGAAACCTTGAAATCTATTAA